TTCCCGCTCCCGCCCCGCTGCCCTGCCCTGCCCTCCCACCCCGCTGGCCTCCCACCCTCCTGCCCTGCCCCCTTTCCGCCTCCCCACCCCCACCCGCCGCTGCCGCAGCCGGCAACATGCTGAGCGGCGCTCTGGATGACTTCACTATGGCGTCGCAGGGCTGCATGGCCGGCCTGGCGCTCAACGTCAGCGTCAACGCCTTCAGCGGCGGGCCCATCCCCGCCGGCTGGTACTCCCGCACCCTGACCACCATGGACCTCTCGTTCAACGGCGTGTCGGGGCCGCTGCCGGTGCAGTGGGGCCTGCCCAAGGAGGCCCTGGGCATGCAGTTCCCCTCCTCCTTCCCCAGCCTGGCCTCGCTATACGTCCAGGGCAACAACCTGTCAGGCAAGGCGGAGGCGGCGCAGGAGGCGGTGCAGGAGGTGGCGGGCAGGCGGGCTGCGACGGCGTGGCCGAGCCCGATCGCCGCAGCATGCCGGCGGGCTGCCCGGCTGCCCGCATGCGGCGGGCAGGGAGGCGACGAGGCAGGCGGGGCGCCAGGCGCTGGGCCAGCAGTCAACCTTGCATGGGCGACACGCCGCCGCCGCCGCCGCTGCTGCGCAGGGCCTGCGGACCCGTGGCCGGGAGGCGGCGCCGCCGTCTTCTCCCCAGACTTTATTGCCGTCACGCAGCCGGGCAATGAGGAGCTGCAGCAGGCGCCGCCGCCGCCCGCGCTGGACGACGCTGACGTGGCGCTGAGCGGCGACGGCAGCGCGGCGCAGCGCGCCCTGCTGGCGCAGCGGGCCGCCATCACCAACTGGGCTGCCTTTGCGGGCAGCAACAACGTGACGGGGTGGGACGACGCCACGCCCGTCTGCCTCTGGACCGGCGTCGCCTGCTCCAACGGTACCGTCCTGCAGCTGTGAGTGGCGTGGGTGCCGCATGCGCCCATCCAAGGCTGCCCGTCGGCTGGCGCCGGGGCTGCCGCTCGTGTTGGCCACCGCTGTTTGCCCCATGGCTTCGGAATGGCTGTGGCCGCCGGCCACGGCCGTGTGCGGTTGGGGGGCGGACTGCGGAGAGACGGTGTGTGCTGTGCACCTGCAGGGACTTTGGCTGCAACGAGGTGGGCGCGCCGCAGGCAAGCGGCTTGTGCAGGACGCGTGCCGAAGGCTCGCTGGCACCCGACTTAGCCACCATCAGGTGCCTGCTGCCTGCCGCGCCGCACCGCGCCACGCCGCGCTGCGCTGGGCGGCGCTTCCTTTTCCGCGCGCTGCGTGCATGGCTGCGGCTTTCGCATGGGCGCTTGCCGTGTGCGCGGGCGCCCACAACGGCTCCTGCCGGCGCTGCGCGCATGCCTGCAGCACCATGCAAGGAGTGTTCATGACCTCTCAGAGCCTGTCAGGTGGGGCCAGCTCTGGCCAGCGTGGGCATGGCATGTGTGTCTCGCGAGGCTGGAACCTGGGCCCTCGTGGTTGGTGCTCCCCCGGCACCTGGCCTCATGCCGGTCTGCCCTCCTTGCGCCATGCAGGGACGCTGCCTCCCGAGTGGGGCATCGACGGCGCATTCCCGGCCCTGCAAAAACTGTGAGTTGCCAAAGGGTGCCGCGGCGCCGGCGCCGGCTCCCCTTGAATTTGACAGCCTGAAGCTTCACCTGTGCCGCCCAGCCTCACCCCTCTTCTTGTGCAGGGACTTGTGTTACAACTCACTATTGTCTGGTGAGCCGGAGCGCTCTTCCCGCCTCCCCTGGGGCCATCTGCTGGCGCCTGGCCTGGGGTACGGCATCTGCGATGATACAGTCCCTAAACCCTGGCCTGCTCGCCTCGCGGTGCAGGCACTCTGCCCGCCCAGTGGGGCCAGCCCGGCGCCTTCCGCCAGCTCACGGCGCTGTGAGTCTGGCACGGCGCCGCTCAGCTGCATGCTTCAACGCCACCCTGCATGCCTCTCTGCGTGCCTCCTCGCCTCCCTGCTCATTCACACACTCTCTGTGCTCGCCCTGCAGGTGGCTGTGCGACAACATCCTCACAGGTAAGCCTGGGCAGCACACGTTGTGGCATCCCCTGCTGCGGCAGCATGCCAGCTCCACGCCTGACCCGCACCCTCAGCCTGTGCTGCTTGCTCAGTCCAGCACCACGCTCCCACCTTGCCATCACTGCCTGCAGGCGACCTGCCTGCCGGCTGGGGCAGCGCTGGCGCCTTCCCCGTCTTGTTTCAGCTTTACCTGCAAAGCAACCGCCTGAGCGGTAGGCGCCCGCTCCCCAATGCCGCTCAGCCCTGGCATGCCTGCCTGCACAGATGCATCAAGCAGCTGGCTGTCGTCGCAGCACCTGGCTCTCTCACCACCCCCACCGCCCGACACCCTCCGCAGGCACTCTTCCCGCGGACTGGGCCAACATGACCAACCTGAGCCTTCTGTGAGCAGCCCTGCCTCGGCTGCTGTGATGAGCCTGTCCTGCGTGGCCTGCTGCTGCTTAACCGGCAAGGGCCCCGTGCCAACCCACCCACAGCTGCGTTCCCTCCAACCTGCGCCCGCTGCCTGTGCAGATCCATTGAGAAGAACAGCCTCAGGGGGGCGCTGCCCAGCGAGTGGGGCAGCGCAAACGCCTTTGCCAAGCTGCAACAGCTGTGAGCTTGCTGCTGCCTAGCCTGCCCCTGTTCCTTGCTTCAGCCCGCCATATATCGAATATTGAATAAACCATGGGAGGTGCTGAGATGCAACCGGCAGCCATGCTTAGCATCCGGACCGCCTGCCGCCCTTGCCCCATGCGTGACGCATGCTCTGCCTTGCTGGTACTGCTGCTGCAGGTCTCTTGACACTAACCAACTGAGCGGTGAGCTGGTGGTTCAGCACTGCTCCTCCGCACCATCGCTGAGCAGCTCCTGCCTCCATGGGCCAATTGAGCCAGCTGGCCATTCCTCGGGCACCGCCTGCATCCCACGCTGACATCCAGACCCTGCTGCTGCTGCTGCTGCTGCTGCTGCTGCTGCTGCTGCTGCTGCTGCTTGCAGGCCCGCTGCCTGCCAGCTGGGGCTCCTCAGATTCCTTCCCAGCGCTCCAGCAGCTGTGGCTGTACCACAATAATTTCACAGGTACGGGCAGGCAGACTCCCGACCAGTACGGGCAGCGAAAGCAGGCAGCCTGGCTCCCGCCTGCTGCTCTGGCTCAGAGCTGTGCAGCACACAGTGCGCCCTCCTCCCTGGGCGGCCTTGCAGGCACCATCCCTCCCGCATGGAGCAACGGCTTTTGGGCGCTTCAAATTCTGTGAGTGTGGTGCAGGTGGCCAGCAGGGTTGGCGGGAACCAGCCACCCTGCTTGGCCGGCTGCATGAGCTGCCTGTGCCGTGCATGCCGCTCGCGCCGGCAGCCGAGGGCTCTAGCGCTTACCATCAGCCGCCCTGCTCTGCCGTGCCCATGCAGGGACCTTCACAATTGCAGCCTTTCGGGTGAGGGCACCCGCTGCCTGCCTCCAAGCCCGCCGGCCTGCCACCTGCCCCTCCTGATCTTCCTGCCTTGCTGCAACGACCCTCGCGCCGGCTGCGTGGCTGCCACACAAATGCTTGGCTGCCCCGACCCCGCTCGCCTCCCTGCTGGCCTGCCGCTGCCGCAGGCACCCTGCCTGCCTCCTGGGGCATCGCGCCAAACTCGTTCCCTGTGCTGGAGGAGCTGTGGCTCAACGATAACAACCTGACAGGTGACGTTTTGCGGGGAGCAGGCGCTTGGGCCTCGGTACCGCGCGCCGGCAGCCGGCTGCCGCGTTCCTCAGAAGCTGTGGCACACTGTGAATACTTCCCTGACCTGAATGCCTCGCCAGGCATTGTGTTAGCTCATCCAGGGTGCGCCACAGCTGCGCCCGGCACCTCTGTGTTCCCTCCTGCAGGCCAGATCCCCGAGGCCTGGGCGGTGGGGCGTGCCTACCTGAGCCTTGGCAAGATGTGAGCCTGCCAGGCTGCATGCCTGTGCACCCCGCGCTTTTGCTTGCCCGGGGACCAGCACACTGCAGGGCCGGGCAGGGCAGCGCTGGGCAGGGCTTCGCCAGGCAGGGCAGCGTGAGAGCCACATCTGGTGCTGGTGCCATGCAGGGGTCTGGATGACAACCCCACCCTGTGCGGCCCGGTGCCCGCCCACCTCCTCCAACCGGTGAGATGCTGCCTCACTGCCGGGGCGGCTGCTGCTGAAGCCTGCTGCTGAAGCCTGCTGCCGAAGCCTGCTGCGCAGCCGCACCCATCCAGAAGGCGGCAGCCTTGGCACCATCCTCTCTCGCCTTGGGCTGGCTACAGACCGCTGCAAGGCTGCAGGCTGCACGCTGCTGATCCCCGACGCCTTTGCCGCTGCCTGCTTTGCTTCTGGCGCCCCTTGCTCTGCAGGTCTGCTGGTCTGGCGCCACCCAGTGCACCGCCAGCAGCACCCTCGCCTGCCCCTCTCAGTTTCGCGCCGCCGACAGCTTGGATGCGCTGACGCCGGCGCCCGAAGAGGGAGGGGAGCCCATCCCGGCTGGCGCCATCGCAGGGACGGTAGTGGGAGCACTGGGTGAGTGGCCGCGGGCGCTGCCGGGCGTCTGCAGTTGCCCGCCTGCACGCCTGCATGGATGCTAGCAGCCGCTGCGCACGCCGCCGCCGCTTCAACCTGCCGCTCCCAGCCCACCACCTTTAGGCAGGATCCGCACCCCATCTTTTGCCGCAGCCGTCGGGCTGCTGGCTGGCCTGGGCCTCTTCGCCTGGCGCCGCAGCCGCACGCGCAGGCTTCGCCAGCGAGCGGCAGCCGCCCAGGCACAGGTGGAGCGCCAAGAGCGGGACAACGGGGCCAAGGCGCCCGGCGGCGGCGGATTTCCCGCAAAGGGCCCCGCCGGCGCGCCGCCGCCGCTGTTGGATGCCGCTCCTGGCGCCCCGAACGGCGGCGGCGGCGGCGGGCCGGGCGAGGCCGCCAGCCTGCCCGGCAGCTACGTCACGAGCGCGGGCGCTTGGTCCATGCTGTGGGCCAGCCTGCGGGGCGTGCGGGGTGGGGCGGCACCAGGCGCGACCCACGGGGCCGGCCCTCGCACATCCGCCGGCGAAGAAAAGAGGTGCGCCGCTTGCGCGCCTGTGTCGTCGCAGCCCGGCTGGCTGGCTGGCTGGGGCGCTGGCGGTGCATCCGGGCTGCCTGCCTGCCAGCCTGCCTGCCTGCTTGCCTGCACCAAGCGCGCGCCGCCTCACGCTGCCCCCACCCTCACTCCACCCTGTCCCCCACGCCCGCCTTCGGCCTGGCTGCCCCACCCTCCCCCTCCTCCTCCTCCTCCTTCCTCCTTGCAGTGCTGGGGACAGCGGGGGGTCTCTGCAGCACGACCCAATCATCTGCTACATCACACAGGAGCTGGCCAGCATGCGCAGCATCACCCTGGATGCCGCCGCACCACCCCCGGGCAGCAGGCACGGCCTGAGCCTGGCCGCCGTGGCCACGGCCTCGTCTGCCGCCGCGCCAGCGGCCGCTGCGGCAGGCGCCAGCGGCAGGGCGGGCCCTGGCAGCCGCGAGGCGGCGGCGGACAGGCGCATGATGGAGCTGTGGCAGGTGCAGTGGGAGGAGCTTCGGCTGGAGCGCATGATTGGCAGAGGGTCCTTTGGGTTTGTCTACCTGGCCTACTGGCACGAGACCGCGGTGGCAGCCAAAGTGCTCATCATGTCAGGTGCAAGGGGCTGCCTGCGCCTGCGCTCGCCTGCACGGCTTGCTTGCGGGTTGCGGCAGGCAGCACCTGCCAGCCCGAGCCTGCGGTACAAGGGCCCGCTGCGGGTATGGGCTGCCCAGGCGTGCCCGCATCCGGCGGGGTATCCCGCAGCCGCGGCTGAGCAGTGCATGCCACTAGCTGTGCCCGCCTGCCTACCTGCTTGCAGACGACCCGGCCGTGGGAGGGTTGGAGCTGCCGCAGGCCACCCTGCGCAGCCTGCAAGAGGTGGGCGGCGCCTGCAGCCAGCCAGGCAGCCACGCGAGCGCCTGCCGTGGCATGCCACATGCCGAGCGCCGATCCTTGCTGCCATTCCCCCGCCGCTGAGGGCAGCAGAAACTCGCAGCGCTCGTGCGCGTCAGGAAGCACTGGCCCGCCCGCACACGCATGCGTGCTTGCGCTGCCCGGGCCTTCCTGCGTTGCCCGGACCTTCCCTGCCGCTGCCACCCGCTGGGCGCAGGAGGCGGCCGTGATGTGCCGCATGCGCCACCCCAACGTCGTCGCCTTCCTGGGCCTCGTCTCCCTGCCGCCCTGCATCGTCACAGGCGAGCCCTCCAGCCAGCGCCGGCGCCGGCGGGGGGGCGCACGGTTCGGGCCAGGCCGCGGCAGGCGCTGGGTGCCTGCTCGGCTTCTTGGCGGGCTTAGTGTTGTGCTGCCAGGCCCGCCACCTCGCGGGCTCCCGCCTGCACCACGCCATGCCGCCACACACACACACACACACACACACACACACACACACCTCAGCGCCACCATTGCCAACACAGCACACCGGCGTCCCTCCCCCCATCGGCCCCTGCACCGCCCCGCCTGCCGCAGAGTGGTGCAGCCGGGGCAGCTTGTACGACGTGCTTCGGCGGGCGGGGCGGGACGAGCGGGTGGCGGCGGAGCTGAGCTGGCAGCTGCGCATGCGGATGGTGCGTGTTCCGGTCAGAGCGGGAATGTGTGCAGTGAGGCGGGGTGCTGGCGGGAAGTTTCCGGCCCACCTCATCCATGTTTGCCTGCCAGCCTGCCGCTGCCGCCCGTCCCTGGCACGCAAAGGTGCCGCGCCTGCCCGCATTCCTCCCTGCCACGTGTCACCACCACCACCAACCACCTGCCCACCCGGCACTCCACCCCCGGCCCACCTCCCGCCCACACACCCGGCCCCACAAAGGTCAAACCCCGGCCTCTGCCCGCAGGCCGTGGATGCGGCCACCGGCCTGCTGTACCTGCACTGCCGCTCGCCGCCCATCATCCACCGAGACGTGAAGAGCCCCAACCTGCTGGTACGGCCCCGCCCCCCCTCCTCCTGCAAGCCTCTGGGTGGCCCCTGTGGCCCCGACCCGCCCCACCTGCCTCGCTGCGCCCCAGCCTGTGCTGTGCACACCCCCAAGCCGTGATGCGCTGTCCCGCACGGTGGTCTTCCTGCTTTCGTGCGGTGCGCCACGTCGCCGAAAGCAACCTTTCCTCCTATGCAGGTGGATGAGGGCTGGCGGGTCAAGGTGGCAGACTTCAACCTCAGGCAAGCCCCAGCCGGCATTTGATGGCTTTGCTGCCTGCCGCATCTGCGCTGGGGCGGGCCCATGTGTGTGCGCTGTGTGGCGGGCGGCCCCAGGCCCAGGGCTGCCCCCGTCCCGCGCCCGGCCTTGCATCTCATGAAGAGGCCGCCCCGCCCGACCCACCTACCCGCCAGCTCCTTCCCCCCTGGCTGCAGCAAGATACTGGCATCGGAGCAGCCGCAGCTGTCGACGTCGGGGGGCGTGGGCAACCCCGTGTGGCTGGTGAGCTGCCGGCGGGGCAGGGCTGCCGCGACTTCGTGCCCGCAGGCCGTCCCGCGGGATACCCTACAGCTGCTGCGCGTGTGGCGCAGCTGCTGTGTGCACTGCAGGCGTGCGGCAGCAGCCACAGTGGCCCCAGCCAGCCATGCCCCACCGCCCGGCCCTCCCGCCAGCCAACCCCTGCCCCGACGTCCGCCCACGCCACAACCGCCTCCCGCTGCTCCCGCCGTGCCCTGCCACGCAGGCGCCCGAGGTTCTGGAGGGGCAGCGGGCCACGGCGGCGGCTGATGTGTATGCGTTTGGGCTGGTGAGGCGCACCTTGCGCCACCAGACGCGCACCTTGCGCCACCAGCCCAGCAGATTGCCCCCAGCTGCCCCCTGCTGCGCCTTGCTGCTGCGGCCACACAGGCGGCCAGGCTACCACACCAGCCCTGCTGCCTGGATGAGCCTGCCTGCCTTGCTCCGCCGCGCTCCGCTGCTCCACACCTGCACCCCCGCCGCCATTGCCACCACCGCCGCCGCCTCCCCTGCTCCCAGGTGTTGTATGAGCTTCTGGTGTGGGACATCCCCTGGCGCCTGCCGCCCTTCACGGTGAAGCGGCAGGGCCGGCAGGCGCCCGGCAGCTGCGCCCACTCGCGGGGGCAGCTGTCCCGCAGCGCTCTGCCGCAGCCTGTCGGGTTGGCTTGCATGCATGGCTGCAAGGAGGCCGCCCTGCCCATATGTACACCGCGCCGCCGTCACCCCGCCCACCTGCCCACACGCACACAGCCGAGCCGCCGCCTGGCGCCTGCCTGCCTGTGCGTGCAGGTCATGCGCCTGGTGGTGGGCGGCAGCCGGCCCGAGATACCCGCCCCCGAGGCGCTGCCCGGGCCCGACAGGCCGCAGGCGGAAGACTTGGAGGCTTACTGCCAGCTGCTGAGGTATGATATGCCTCCCTCCCATGACGGCTCCCCCTGCACCTCTGCTGGTGGCACCGCTGGCGCCGCCGCAGCCACCACGGGGTCTCGGCGGGGCACGGCCTCGTACCCGGTCCCCACCCTGGTGCTGCCGCCCCACCCTGGCGCATGGCGCAGGGAGTGCTGGGCGCAGGAGCCGGAGGCGAGGCCCACGTTCCAAGGCATCGTGCCGCGCCTCCGCCAGCTGCTGCACGCGCCCGGCGACCTGGGCGCAGCCGACAGCCTGCTGCTGAGCGGCTACAGCAGCGCGCTGCTCACCAGCGCCGGCCCCGGCGGGCAGCCGCCGTAGTGGCGGACGGATGGCTGGCTGTTTCCGAGCCCGCCACCGCCAGCTGCTCCCAAAGGCGCTTGACCGTGCGGCTCCGGCACTTGCTTCCTGCGCTGTTCTGGCTGTGTTTATCACAAACACACATGATATGTGCAGCCATGGTACTGGGAGCATCGGCCCTAATAGGCCAAGAGCTAGGGAAAAGGGATAAGGGGGAAGTGGCGAGCAGTGGTGCGGTCAGGAAGAAAGAATGGGAGGTACTGTAGTGAAGGAGAGATGGGCGAGCGAGACAAACACGTGGGGGGGTCCCGCTGGGGGGCGGGGCCGTGCCACAGCTGCGAAAAAAAGGGAGCCGGGCAGGCAGCGCGGGGATGCCGGGTGAGGCGCACGGTGTGAGGTGGCTGGGGAGATGGAGACCCAGGTTGGGAGGAGTGTGACAGGTGGGCGGTTGAGAGGATGCCTGTGGAGGAAGGGAGGGGCAGGGAGAAGCACGGGGACGAGCGGCGAGCGGCGCAGCGCAAAGCTCAAGGCGCCGCCCAGCCGCATAAGCGGGGAGGATGGGGGGTGGGTGAAGGGGGCAAGGCGCGGCAGTCAAGAGGCGGCGCTTCCGTGGGTGAGGGGACAGGTGGTGGCGTCAGAAGGGGCAGTACGAGGCGGGTACAGCAAAAAAAGGGGACAAAGGGATTGATGGAACAAAGCAAGCGCGGGGCGCAGGAGTAGGGAGGTCAGGATGGTAGCAAAGGGTGGGGGATGGAGGTGGGGGGTGCAGAGGTGAGGTATATGCGGCCCTGCTGCTGCCCAGACGATGCTGCGGGGCTCAGGATGTAGCTGTGGCGGCGAGGAGGGGCAGCGCGGACGGGCCACCCTCTAAAACCAGGGCCGGTGGCGGTCTGTGCGGGATGCATGCAGCCGCCGTCGCTGCTGCCCCTGCTCCTCCTGCTGCTGCCGCGCCGCCTCGCCGCCCTCATGCCCGCCGGCGCCGCCCTCCTCGGGAGCCAGCTCCATCGCTTTGCGGGCAGGCTGCGACTGCGCAGGCTTGCGAGAGGGCCGGCGCACGCGGACGCGCGGCGGCGGGCGCACCCTGGCGGGCGAGCACTTCCACCTGCCGTCCGTCTGCTTGAGGCAGGTGTTGCCGGCGGCGCAGGGGGGCAGGCAGTTGGGGATGCACTGCCAGCTGCCGTCCAGCTTCTGGCAGGAGTAGCCGGTGCCGCAGGCGGGGCTGCACTCGAACTGGATGCACGTCCAGCTGATGTCGGGCTTCTCGCAGCGGAAGCCGGCGCCGCAGGCGGGCACGCAGGTGTCCACCACGCACTGCCAGTTGAGCCCCACTTTCTTGCAGACCTTGCCGGTACCGCAGGCGGGGATGCACGTGTCGCTGGCCACCACTGCGGCAGGAGGAGGGGGGGGTTCGGCAGGGCATCAGCGTGCGGCGCGTGCATGCCTCTCCGCCTGGCCAGGCGCGCCGCAGAGCAGGGCCGCCACACGCCGCCGCCGGCTGCCAGCCAGCGCAGCCCACCTTGCACGCATTTTGCTGTGTAGGTGGCGGGGTTGCCCACGATGCACTTGTGATTTGTGGGGCACACCACGTCTTTGCAGGGGTGCTTCCGGCACCTGCCGCCCCCGCAAAACTCCCCCAGCGGGATGCAGACGCTATCGTCCGTGCAGGCTGCAGGCAGGGGCGTGGGGGGAGGCGGTGGGAGGGCCAGTGGCTGGCAGGGAGGCCAGCCTCATGCAGGCCCGCAGTGCTGTGCAGCAGCAAGCTGG